GCCACCTACTGAGGCGCCGCAGCTGGAGCAAGCCCGGACCGCGGCGCCCTGCTGACAGCATGCTGCCTCGCGCAGGCGCCGGCGCAGGCAAGAGACGTAAGGCTGGGCGAGGCCCCGCCTCTCGCTGCCGGAAGCAGGGACGCCGCCGCCTGGGGGCTCCGGGGCGCCTTCGGGAGGAGAGCTTCGTGAGTGCGCCTGCGTTCAGGCGGGACGGAGAGGCTGAGCGGACGGAGCAGCGGAGTCCTTGGATGAGTAACGTGCCAGCAACGTGTCTCAGACCCTCCGGGGGCCTGTGTTCTTCTTTGGAATGTGGACAGACCAAATAATGACCGTTGAAAAGCCTCCACCAGCACCGCATGAGGACAGGGCGATTTAAGAGAGACAAAGCCTATGAAACCTCTGTGTAAACTGAAGTCCTATGCCAGGTTTAGTTCTCCAGTAATTTCTAGCAATCAGGAACACGAACGTCTCTTGGTCACCCCTAAGACGTATAGAACTGGCCCAGAGTTCTGTTTGACAGATGGCGGTTGGACCGGGCACCCGCGTGACCCACGCTCTTTCCTAGTCCTATCTCCGTTCTGAACACCTGCACGCTTGACCCGGGTTCAGAGGTTAAAGTGGCAGTGATCACTTTGTGCTTATTTAACATAATTATTTTTAATAATTAAAATATAATATTTAGTTAACCAAGTATTTTACCCTCCCCCAAACTAGAAGCATCTCAAAAGGCCATCGCTAAAATGGATGGCAGAGCATGTTAAAAGCTTAATTTCATCCCTCCCCAAATTCATGTGCCGAAATCTAACCGTCCGTACCTCAGCATGTGACAGTATTTGGCGATAGGGTTTTTACAGAGATACTTAAGTTGAAATGAAATACTTAGAATGGACATTAATCCAGTATGACGGTTATCCGTATAAGAAGACATTGGGACACAGGCAGAAGACCACCATCTACAAGCCAAGGAGAGAAGTCTCGGAAGAGCCAAACCTGTCCACATCTGAGTGTTGGACTTTTAACTTCCAGAACTGTGAGAAATTTTTGTTATTTAAACCCCCACCCTTCCAAAAGCATTAATTGTATTTTATGATTCTTTTTAATTGAATCTCTTTAAAAGGTTTTGACACCTTCCCCCCAAAATTAAAAAGAAAAAATTTATTTACACCTAACCCCCCCCCCAAAAAAAAACAGAACCAGGAAAAGATTATCTTTGGAGTCCAAAGGCTCATTTAACACTAAATATCACTAACCTATTTACTTCATATTAATTCAGTTGGCAAAAATTCACGGAGGGTCTGACAAAACCAGGCATGTTAGGTATTTATTTCACTTAAGTTTACAATAACCCTATGTTAAAAATAAGTTTTCCCATTTTATGTATAAGAAAACTGACCCAGGGGGGATTCAGTGATACGGGCAACATCCCATAACTGACAGGTAACGGGACAGGGTTCCCATCTAGATCAGTCTGGTTCAGCAGTCCATGCTCTTGGTACTTTAATGTCCCTTCTTAGAGACCTGTCAACAGTACAATTGAATACAGAGTTAAAGTCAAAATGTGTTCAAAGGGCTGTGAATTCAGTTTAAATTTGATAAAATAGGTCTTGTTATTACTTTTGAAGGCTTACTATTTTTCTAATCTGTGCTTTCTAAAATATAAGCAACCATAAATTCCATCATCAGATTTCTGTATTTTAATACTAAAAATCAATAAAGAAACTGCTCCCCCCTCCACTCTAAATGCATGTCTCACTTTTGGTTTTGATTTTTTTAAAGAAAAGTTCTTATGACCAATCTTTTTATTATCATCAAATATGGGTCTCAGTTGCTACCTTCTGAATCCTAAGTCTTACAATCATTTCTATCATTCCTACTTTGTTATCTCTTAAATACTATTAAATGATATTTGACTCTTATTTCAGAGGAGTGGGAATTGGAAAGAAGAAGGTATATTGAAAAAATATGGGAAATAAAGTTACATGTCTTTGAGTTCTGAGATAAACTGTGAACACTAAATGGTATTCCTTTCCTTCTGTTGTTTGAATAACAGACACAAAGTTATAAGTATTTTGTCTTACACACATTAACATGTTTTTAAAAATTTTAATATTTTTAATATTTTAAAATTTTAATAATTTGAGCCAAACTGAGGATGTATGCTGGGGAGCAAGATTTCAAATGCTCCAGAGAATAACAGTTTGGCAGCTTTTTAAATTCATTTGAAAGTAAGGTTGGGAAGTAAGGAAGTTTGCATGGAGGTGGAAGAGAGCAAGGCAGGGATTGAATTAGAGGGTAGTTACCAAGATTATGTGCTCTCTTGAGTGTGGTTATGGCTTATTTCAAAGGTGTGTTAATCACATTAACACATTTTGAAAAATATTAATTATTTAGTTATGATCTTTTAGAGTACTTAAACTCTCAAAAAAGATCACTCTGTGTGCCTTCCTATTTCTGGCTATACTTTTCCTTCTGTCTTCCCTATGAAACTGTCAACCTGCACTCTGAAACTATTCTCTGAAAATCTGAGGCATCATCATCACATCTGTTTACATTATGATATAAGACCAGAAAGACACTGTCATGTTGTGGCATTTAGTCAGCAATTACTTTAAAAACCAAATAGCTGTCAAAGGATACTATGGTTGATGGCTGACATTTCTAAACCTCCAGTCAAACTAGATCACTAGCTCTGGTTCTACAAATCTTCTCCCATAGCTCTTTGCACATGCTTTTTCCTTCTATTATGTATAACTTCCTTGTCCTTCAGATATCAACCTCACATTGCCACTGGAGTGGTGGCTAACAACAAAAGACTGTGAGAAGTGCCTCTCCTCTGTGCTCTTGGTGTATCCTCTCTTTAGACCTGTCATAGCATATGTCATACTGTGTGGAAGTCACTATTTACCATTTCCCAGGTTAGAGGATAAGATTGTTGAGAGGGCTGTGTCTTGTTCATCATGGCGCTTCATAGCTGTAAAAGCTTCAGTCTCCCCATAGCCATGATGGTAGTATTTTTTTGTCTTTCCTGATAAGCAATAAGCTCTGTGTGGGCTAAACAGTACTTGACATTTCTCGAATCAGAATGCATAGATTTGGTGAAATATTATGGAAACAAACTTTTTCTATTTGATGTAATAATATGTAGTAATGTGATGAAATAAGAGGGAATGGGTGCTACTGTCATTATTTTTACAATGTTATGATTAAATAAATTGTTATGTGTATACATGATTATAGACGAAGTGGGTAGGTAAAAATAGAAATAATTGTTATAATCATGCAATTATCAGTGAATATTTCTTTAAATTTTCAATCATATTATTTTTTAAGATTTTATTTATTTTTAGAGAAAGGGGAAAGGAGTGAGAAAGAGAGAGAGACATCAATCAGTTGCCTCTCATACACCCCAGCTGGGGTCCTGGCCCACAACCTAGACATGTGCCCTGACTGGGAATTGAACCAGTAACCTTTTGGTTTGCAGGCCAGCACTCAGTTGCTCAGTCCACTGAGCCACAGCAGCTTGGGCTCAAGCATCTTGTTAAAAAAGAAATAGCTTTCTGTGCTACTCTGAGAGGGGTCCATACTGTGTTGCTCTCGGTTCCCACATAACTGAAAGGGAAACTTTCACAATGTCCAGAGACCTTGATGGCCTGCAAATAAAGAAGGATGCCCTCAAATTCCTTGAGGAACCCACTCAGGTGATACCAACCTTGACTTCCAAATGGAACAGGACATCTACAAAAGGAAAAGTGATGGCCTCTACATCATATATCTGAAGAGAACCTGGGAGAAGTTTTTGCTGGCAGCTCGTGCCCTTGTTGCCATTGAAAACCCTGCTGATGTCAATTTCATATTGTCCAGGAACACTGGCCAGCAAACTGCTGAAGTTTGCTGCTGCCGCTGGAGCCACTCCTAGTGCTGGACACTTCACCCCTAGAACCTTCACTAACAGATGCCAGCAGCCTTCTGGGAGCTGAGACTTCTGGTGGTTACTGATCCCAGGTCTGACCAGCAGCTTCTCACAGAGACGTCCTATGTTAACCTGCCTACCATTCATCTGTATATCACAGACTCTTCTCTACGCTATGTGTTCATTGCCAGCCCTTGCAACAAGGGGGCTCACTCAGTGGGTCTGATGTCGTGGAAGTACTGCACACGGCACCTCTCCCTTGAATACCCATGGGAGGTCATGGCCAATCTTTACTACTTTTTTTAAGAGAAGATTTTATTTATTTATTTTTAGAGCGGTAGGCGGAGAAAAAGAAGGGGAGAGAAACACCTAGCGGTTGCCTCTTGTATACATCCCGACTGGGGACCGAACCCACGATCCAGGCATGTGCCTTGACCAGGAACCCAACAGGCGACCTTTAGCTTTGTGGGACAATGCCCAACCAACTGAGCCACACTGGTCAGGGCCAATCTCTACTTCTCCAGAGAACCTGAAGAGATTGAAAAGGAAGAGGAGGAATTTCAGGGTGAAGGGAATGCTCCAGCTTCTGAGTTCTCTGCAGCTCAGCCTGCGGTCACAGACTGGTCTGAAGGCGTGCAGGTGCCCTCTGTGCTTATTCAGCGGTTTCCTACTGAAGGCTGGAGTGCTCTGCCTGCCATAGAAGGCTAGTCTGCAGTCCCTACTGCTCAGGCCACTGAATGGATAGGAACGACCACTGAGTGGTCTTAAGCTGTTCATCCACAAACTCTTAAACAGACTGGAAATAAGGCTGACAGAAAAAAAACAGTTTCAAAAATAAATCCAAACCTCTTTCTAAAGAAAAAGAACGGGCCTCCTGCAATGCACAGTCTAGTTACTTCACTGGTCCTCTCTCCCGATCGCAAGTTAGCATTGGGCCCAGCAGGCCACTGTCCACAGGTTGGGCCGGCCCAACGTTCTCTTGCGTCGCGTAGAGCCACTCCCTGGGCTCTCTGGGGTCCCTCCACCCCAACTTCCTCCCTGCAGGCCCCGCCCCGGTGCGGTGCGCCTGCGCACGTGCGAACACGTGGCTGCCGCGGAGCCAGAGCAGCAATGGCGGCGGGTGGCGGCGGAGTTGCCGACCCCCTGTCTCCCTCGGGGCTCCCCTGCGCGTTCTCCCCGCCGAGTCAGGCCTACTTTGCTTTGGCGTCTGCCGACGGTCACCTGCGAGTGTGGGAGACAGCCAACAACCGTTTGCACCAAGAGTACGTGCCTTCCGCGCACCTCAGCGGTACCTGCACCTGCCTGGCCTGGGCGCCAGCGCGGTTACAGGCCAAGGTAAAGGGAGCGAGGCGGCGGGAGGTGGGTGCCCACGGGGGCTCGGGCTCTGCGCCCCCGGGCCCGACGGCGCGTGGCTCTGCATCCCGCGTGGCCCTCGGAGGCCCGCGGCGAGGAGGCACAGAGTGCGGCGGCGCGTAGTGGGCCCGCGCCGCCAGTTCCGTGCGCAGCCTGCCCAGAGGCAGTGACTGAGGGCTCGGCCGGATACGACAGGCAGTGGACCGGAGCCTTGCTCGCGGGTTCCGTGCCGTCTTCGCCCCTCTTGCCTCTGTCCACGGGCCGCCATGTTCGCCGAGGCCCCGGCGGCCCCCCCACCCCCGGGGGCTGCCGGGCCTCGCTCAGCCGAATGTAGTCTTCTGAGCCCTGGCTTTTGACAGAGCTTCACCGCGGGACTACACTGCAGACCCACTCACTTATCCTCTCTCATCGGATTTGTCTTGGGTGGTTGGAATCAACAAGTCTCTTTTCTTGCTCCCTTTCACTGCCACCCTTGGGTACCGGCTCACCACGTGTTGTCTTTCACGTCCGAGACGTGGGGCTTTCCCTCTTGATTCTCCCAGGCCCATTTCCAGTCTAAGCCGTTTGAACATTCTCGCTTTTTTATTTTTGACATCGGCTCGACTTTATAAACCCCTTCCCCCCAAGTCTGCAGTTTGCGTCAGGATGTGGAGGTACAGTGGAGTAGTTTAACTTAAATATGAGTCCAGGTGAGGTTTGTCTTAGATGGGACACTGCCGGACTTGGGAAGGCTTTTCACTGTTGGGGATCCATTGCAGGTAAGATGCCATTCCCTGGTGACTCACTCGACTACATCTGTTCTAACACATAACGCACGTGGGAACAGCAGTTAAGTATGTTGCCTAGGGTTGAATCCAGGCTTGGTTCCTAGTAGTAATTTTGCCTCGTTTCCCAATTGTAAAATGGGGATAATAGTGCCCACATTATAAAGTGAAGGTTAACATGTTTAATAATGTATAAAGTATTTAGAGTAGTTCTTGATGTGTAAGTGCTTCAAGCTTTTGTTATTATTAGTTTCTCATATTTGTATGGTTGGTTAGTCCTGCAAGGTAAGGACTAACTTTCTGTTTTGTTTGGGAGGAAGAAACAAGGCTCTGGAAAATTAAACAACTTGCAAAAAGCCAAAAACTGAAGCTGGACTAGATCTCAGGTATTTAGAGCTCAGTTCTCCATTATCTGCAACAAATAGTTTATATTAGACTGGCAAAAATTTGTTGCCCGCTCTGGTTTTCTGTCAACTTAAAATTGCATTGTATGCTTCAGGAATAAAATATCTCTCTAATCTTAAATGTCCTGTTAAAAGTCAGAGTTTTGGATTAAATATAGCACTCTGATACAATAGAAAAATATCTGGATTTGTTTTAATAACCAGGACTCAACTCGAACTTGGTTTTGTCACATTGAACAAGTCATTTTAATTTTGGAGGCCTCATTGAAAAATGAGTTGGGTTACTTTAAAAGATTTTTGTAGGTTTTCAATCCATTTGCCTGTATTCTCTCATTTTAGCCACACAACTCTGTGAAATGCCCTGATATTATTAGATTTTTAAAAACAATAGGAACTAAGAAAGTTTAAGTGACTTCACCAAAGCCTCAATAACCAGTGAAGTAATTGTGCCTGCTGGGGTCAAGACACTAGGACTGGTATAGCGTGGCCTGGCATATAGTGAGTGCTCAGTAAGAGAGAGTTGTTAATGGATAAATCAACAAGTGTTCCATATCGGCTCATTTGTCATTTATTCCTCAGTGCAAATCAGTTTGTAAAAGTATCCACCTGTTTTAGTAGTTGGCAGTTCACCACCCAAAGGACAAAGTTTGATGACGTTATCAGGGAGAAAAAAATGAGTTGGTGCTGTTTTGCTTGGGTAACAGGAGTTAAAGCAATTCATAAATGTTTAGAAAAATTAGACTGCTGCTGCTTGTTCTCAGTCACAGGAGGGTTATAATACTTTCCATTTATGCCACAATAGTTTGTAGAGGGTTTTCGTACATGTTGTGTAGCTGAGCATTTCCACTTGGTTGATGGAGCCTGGGTGAAGAGGACCTCTAATGATGAAAAGTACGGGGAAACAGATTGATGGACTGTGAATGGATGCCATTGTTTTAAGTTCCTTGGGTTTAGGTGTATAAACTGAGGCTATGATATTCTATGATATTTCAAAGCCACATAGTAAATGGCTGAGCCACCTAGCAACTGACTGTTATTTCATTCCCCCCTTAAATCTCTCAAACTTTTCTTTTTCCTTCCCTAACAAGGGAAGAGTCCTGAAGAAACAGATGTTGTCTACTATTGGCTACCACAGTAAATGTATTTGTGCTGTTTTGCTATCACTGCAAAGCACACCCACACAGCTTAGTGTCTGCTGAATGAAGCTCAAGGCATTTTAGACATTGGGCAGGGCAAGCATAGTAACATTAAGGATGCTTCTGGGAAAAATCTGAGCTGAGTGTCCCCATTCCTATCCGTTAGAGAGGTAGCACAATCCCACTGTGTTCTTGTATAATGCTCTGTATTAAGGTCTGTTCAGTATTTAAACTTCGAAAGAAGGTAAAGTTTGTAGATTCAATCCCATAGGCAGAAATAGACATTCCGGTGTATTAGAATTTGTTTTTGACTTAAATATATGTAGTTATATATAAAATACACACATTCTGTTCATTGCTATCCATGACAGTTGCCAGAGGAAATGACTTAAGACCAAGAAATGGCATAGGGGACTAATTGCACAATGAAGTTTGAAATATTAGCATTATTTTCAGTGTCCAGAGGTCGATATTTTTCAAAAATAGGTTTTGATTTATTAGTGGGTTTTGAAACAGATTTAGTGGGTTGTGATGGCATAAGACATCATCAGTATATTTTGCCTGATAAAGGGCTTTTTAGTGAAACTTCTTTCTGTTATATATACATATGTTCTTAGGAGTATACACCATCGCTCTGTATAAACACTATTTTTACTTCCGGATCTCAGTCTAAAAAGTCATTGATTAATTGATCAAATTCAGACTTTACATTACCTGGCTCTGCTTTTTTTTTCCTCTCTTCATTGCAGCTGCACTGTGCCTTGCTTTTTATAAATTATGCACATGTGCCAGTCAGCCTTCTATTGCCTTTGGTATCAAATGCTGATAAGCTTTCATCAGACTGGTATTGGTACTTAATGCTTAGCTCAGTCACACTTGCATATGGAGAAAGACTAGTCACTCCTGGTACCTTCAGGAACTCAGATTTTCCAATCACAAGTACGTACATGAACTAAATTTTTAACCTTCCTTTCCCATTACTTTATATAATTACATGTACAGTTTCTGTGCATATCCCATTGTGCTAGGCACATTAGAGGAAACAAAATAGTATATCTAAAACATCAGCAAAGATATAAAGACAATTCAGATATACTATGTCTGTAGTTCATAGCAAAGTATGACTTCTGCCTTAAGAGAGAAGTTTTAGTGGAGAAATGATTTTTGAGAGGGGCCTTGAGGCATGGATAGATTTTTTTTTAACCAAATGAAAATTGAGGTGAGTAGGAAAAGGCCCCTCCAAGTACAATGAAAGGCAAAGGCAAAATGGGAAAGTTTACTTGTGATTAGGTTGTGTAATGTAAAGACGGAATTAAAAATAAGGGTGGACAAGATGGGTTGGAGGTGAATTCTGGATGCTTTTGAATGCCAGAGAATTCTGTTGATTGACTTTTTTCTGGGGAGTCATTGAAGTTTTTGATCACAGGAAGAACAGGTTCAGATAGAGAATGCCCACAAAGGCCTGTCATAATCTGTAGTCATCCATACCACTTAACTCTTGGTTTCAGAAATATTTAGTAATGGGGTTAATACTTAAAATACTAGAGTTCACTGAAATGCACATTAGTTATTTAAACTGATTACCTGGTTGATGTGTTACTTGTTTGGACATGTTCATCCTGCTGAATGGGAAGTTATTTTTAAGAACATCCAACTCTGAGAATATATACATGAGTCAGTAGTTCTTTGAGATTAATTAATTGGATTATTATTTAGGTTTAAGTCAGTAATCCTCAAAATTGGGCATAGATTCTGTGGATACTCCTCCTAATTGTTCACTCTGCTTGCTTCTCCCCAAAATATAGAGATTTTTCTGGTAGGGGAACCAGGGCTTTGAAAGTGTTATTTTTTAACTTCTAAAATTTCTTTGCTTTGAAATGCAAATTCAAATCTGCAGAAAAACATACTGTACATATTTGGACCAGCCTTTGTTTCACTCGTTAGAAACCTCAGTATAGATGATTGTAATTTGATTTGGGGAAAACCAAAACCAGAAGAAATAATTTCTAGAATCATTCAGAGTTTCCTATTGAGGTAGCAATAGCTTAGTGTACTTTTTCCCATTGTCCTGGCCTAAAGTAGGTTTTTGTGTCCATAATCTTAATGCAGAAACCACGTTTATTTTCAGGGATCACTTAGAGGTGGCTTTAGAACTTCATTTAACTGGAGCTGGGATCTGGGACAAGGCCTGTGCTAAAGTTTCAATGCTTCAAGTAAATTAAATGTTACTCTTGAGTTTATCAGATTGTTTTATACTTTGGTTTTTAATTGTAACTTCTCTTTCGGGTTTATGAATGTAAGATACATTTTTCAGGACTTGCAGAATGTGCATTTTTTCCTGTATGTAGAATGTTACCCTATTTTTAGTTAAATCTTTTTTATTGTTGTCAAGTATGTCCAGCAAATCAAAATTTTCAAATGAACCATCTCCATAAGATAACTTCAAGAAAAAAAATGAAGAATGCTTTATAAATCTACTCCTTGATATTCTTTATGCACCAGTAACATAGTTTTCATTGGTGGGTTTGCGGTTGAGCAGATTTTTGTGGATCCTGGATTGCTTTTTTGAGCTGTAAAGATCTTGTATTATTGAGAAAATGTTCCTTTTCCTGTAGTATTGGTCTGTTTTACACTAAAAGAATAGATTTCTTGGAGCTGCTTTATGCTAAAATATGGGCTGGCAAGCTTTAATTTAAAAGAATTTATAAACATGGAAGAGAAATTCTGAAATAATTTTTCAGAATTATAAACTGATGTAGTACTCTGAAGTTAGGGTCATTGTCTTTTTGGTGAACAGACAAGAGCTTTTATTATTTTTGAAATAAATCAAAATCCTGTGATGTTTCACACTAGATTTAAACTTGTGCCTCTTTAGTCATTGGAATCACCAAGACAGCATGGAACTTTGAGACTAGCACTTAATCAGATGCTGGAGCAACTTCTCTAGTGTGTGTTCTGTGCTGCTTCACTAGTTACAGCTATTTTTTGACTCAGATTGAAGTAAATGCACTTTAAAAATATAACAACATTTGTGTTCCTTTTCCTAAAAACAAAGATAGAATGAAAGAAAAGATGAGGGAGAAAGGGGGAAGTATTGGGTATGGATCTATCATCTCTTTGCTTGGGAGTTGGAGCATTGGACCTGTTAAGAGAATAGCAGGAGCATCACAGCTTGTTCTATTTGATGTCTTCCTTCCATAGAGGTAGGAGATAGGGGGACAAGAATTAGGAGCTCTTCTGTATTGCAGTGGGGGTTTTTTTGTTTGTTTTTTGGGTTGTGTGTGTGTTGTTTTTTGGTTTTTTGTTTTTTTTGGTAAGTAGCAAGAAAGAGGGAATCCTACTTCCTTTTTTTTTTTTAAAGTAAGTATCCCTTAGTAGCAATCACATTTAATTTGTGGGCTATTGGGCATTTGCTTTTATGCATTAGTGATGTTTCAGTGTTTGAAATACAAAATAAACTTTTTTCTTTTATTTTTAGGAAAGTCCCCAGAGGAAAAAAAGGAAATCAGAACCTATAGAAACGAGTAACCAGATTGACTTGTTGGCTCTTGGTACAGCAGTTGGTAGTATTTTATTATACAGTACAGTAAAAGGAGAATTACACAGTAAATTAATAGTAAGTATGTGTGTTATTTTCTCTAAAAGAGATATGGCAGGGAAACTGGTATATTAGAGATTCATTAAATAAAAACAACTGCTTAGGATATGCTCTAGGATCTACATTTTGGGGGCATTTTGCTGCCCCTTCTACATTGAAAATTCTGAACAGTAATAATTGATAATAGCTATGATAGGAAACATAGTTCTTATTATTGATCAGAAGATGAAAAATGGTTGACTAGATTGAAAAGAAAGGGTGAAAAGAATTCTAAGTATCACGCATAACTGCAGGAGGGAGCCCACCATCTCTAGGGCTAGAGAACAAAGTAGGCTGTTGGAATTACTGCTGGTAATTAAGAATGGAAGTAAGAGGAGCTGGTGTTGCTCTCTGTGATGCTGTCTCTTGAGCAGGAGTTGGCCCGGTGGGCCTGGGGTTCAGAACTGAGGAGGGGACTCTAGCTGATTGCTGGTGTCTCTAAAGGGAGGTAAGGAAACTGGTTCTCCAGGTGACGTAAAAATTGCATTCAGTTGCTGCTAAAAAGGGTGCCAGTGCTGGAGTGAAGGAGCAGTGGGGTGGTGCAGACTGGGAGGCAGGAAGGAAGAAGTCCCTTGCTGCTCCTCCAGCACCCGTTATTGGTGCAGCCTACTGGCCATCCCGCTGCCAAAGCAGCAGTGTGGTTTGCAGGCTTCCAGCATTGCAGAGCACAGAGGAGAGGGCTTGGCTCTGCCAGACAATAACTTAACTGACACAATTTATTTCAGACAATATCTTTTGCAGTGTATTTTGGTATTCACTGAACTCCAGTCTGTGTATAGGAATGCTTTCTGCAGATTGGACTCAAACAATGTTTTAAGTAACATCTACCTATAGCTATTTTGGAACTACACAATGTTGAAAACAGAAAAAAATTTATACCTAAATCTGTCACTGGAAGATCCTCTGATTAATAGATTATATATTTCTTTGCTTAATGCATGTATTTAAAAAGTACTTTTTGATTCTGTCCATCTATTTTGTATCCTGATATTTTCCATTACATTACAACATAAAGAATTGTCATATTTGTCAAGAACTAGTTATAAACATTTTAAGTGACTGGCTAAAATACCATTAAATTGGATAGTCCCTTGGTGATTTAACTAATACCATTTAGGTGGTTTCTGGTTTTTATATGGTTATTATACATTGTTTTGTTACATGTTTCCTGCAATTAATGAGTCAAAGGTTTTTGAACATTAAGGTGTTTTATATATAGTAGTATAAAAATACTTTCTGAAAGTGTTTTCTTAATTTGTACTTAATGGTACCTGTATTTCAGTAGTGTTAATGCCACCATTGAATATTCCCATTAAAACAGCAATAACACTAACAAAAAAATAGCTAATTTGATAGGTGGAATTTTATCATCTTGATTTTTAATCTTGTACCTCTGAGTGAGCAAGCATCTTGCTATGCTAAGAATGTTTGAAGTATTGTTAATATGGTATGATCTCTTAACACAGGGAAACATTTAGTGTTTACCCGAAGAAACATTTCTTTTATTAAGAGATATTTTTGGCACTTTTAAAAAAAGATTTTTGCCCTGGCTAGTGTGGTTAAGTGGACTGAGTGACAGCCTGCAGACCAAAGGGTCGCCAGTTCAGTTTCTGGTTGGGGGACAAGCCTGGGTTGTGGGCCAGGTCCCCAGCTGGGGTGAGTGAGGCAACCACACATCAGTGTTTCTCTCTTTCTCTTTCTCCCTTCCTTTCCCTCTTAAGAATAAAATCTTAAAAGATTTTCAGGTAGTTTGACTAGACATGATTTTTATCTTAAATGCTGACTTTAAACTCTTTAGGATTTGACTTTTACTAGTTCACTCAAGTGTCACAAACTTTGCCACTGTACATGAAGTATTTATCATGCTTTGTGCAGGCCTTCCTGACAAAAGCAAGTAGCATTTAGGAATAGTGCCCTCTAGCTTAGTATGAAGAAGTATGTTTTTCTAGCAGAGAAGGGAAAGTTAACATTTGATGAAGTTATAGCTAATTTATCTCACTTTCTGATGTTAGAAATGGATAGATGTCAGGTTTTTTTGTTTTTGTTTTTTAGTTAGGTTAAAGCCTAACATTATAGTTAACTGTTTAGTGATAATTCCAGGGTACATCTCATATCGGGTGAGTTTTTTTAATCTTTTTTAAAAAATTTATAGAGCGGTGGACATGACAACAAAGTCAATTGCATACAGTGGCATCAAGACAATGGCTGTTTGTATAGTTGTTCAGACGATAAACATATTGTGGAATGGAATACACAGACATGCAAAGTAAAGTGGTGAGTAATGTTGATGGTTCTATGGTATTGGAGGGGTGACTTGATTACTGTTTGGAAATGGATTAGAGTGTGACAAGACTGTTCTTGCTATAAGTAAAATTTGATATTGGACATAGTGGGAAATGTTGACACTAATAAGGCCATGTGGACTGATTTCAAGGAGCTTTTAAATCATGTAAGATTTTAACACATAAAAGTTAAATAATGGTACAAGAGACAATTGCACAAACGATGTCATAAGGTAGCATGTGATTACTGGACACGGGAGTAGGGCAGTGTTGGAAGGCCTGGTGGAAAAGAAGGGATTTCTGTTGGGCCCTGTAGGATAGATAAGATTTGCATAGAAGAGGGTGGGGAGAGGAAGGTGGGGAAATGGCGAAGGCTAGGAGACAGGAAAGGGAAAGATTTACTTAGAACTGAGTTATGCAGAGGAGAGAAGTACTAGGAGGTTAGGTTGGTAGAGGATATGGGGCAAGTGTCTTAAGAGTGATGGCCTTAAGTGCCATAGATAAAACAACAGACAAGTATCTGGTAAGTAGGAGAGAGCCAGTGAAGGGCAGTGTCTTAGAAATAAAGTAACCAAAATAATGCTCTGGGGAAAAGTAATGTCAGCGATATCTAGAATACATGGGAAAGAGCTAGTTCAAAGGACCTCCTGCCCATTTGCCTAGTTTTGTATATGCCTATCATGTCATTCTCCTGTAGTAGGGTAATTCTCAGTTATTTTTAGACACATTAGTTTTATTATTTCTTGGAGGCTTTCCTCCAGTTACATTTCTTTCTTGGAGGACTTCTGCCTCCTTCCAGGGTTTGCTGAACAAGCAGTTGTCCTGGGATTTCCTTTCTCCATCATCTTGAAAATTCTTTTGTCAGATAATCTCCTCTATTTCCTAAATTCCATTTTTCATTGTTGGTTTGCTCCTTGTTTTGATGAAGCACCAAATTGGTAGCTTTCTGAGAAAGGGTGCATGGAGAGATAAATTTACTGAGATTTTACGTGTCCACTAGAGTCTTTATTCTAGCCTCACAGTTGATTCATAATTTGAGTTTTCTAATTTTAGGTTGGAAGTAATTTTCCCTCAGGATTTTGATACATTGATTCATTGGTTTTATAGCTGTCAGCGTTGTCCTTAGTACTCTCAAATACCCTGAGATTTTTTTTTCTTTAATCATTGAATTATATTGTCATTCAAGAGGCCGTTTTTCCTGCAAATTCTTGTTCTTCATTTTTCTTGTCCTGTGTTCATCCTCTCTGCTTCTTAAAAATCTTTCTCTAATACTCACTGTTGTTTAGATCGGGGGTCCCCAACCGCTGGGCCACAGACTGTTAGCGGTTTGTGGAAAAATCGTCTCCCACGAAACCGGTCCCTTGTGCCAAAAAGGTTGGGAACCACTGGTTTAGATGTTACATCTCCTCTTGAGAACCTCTCTGTCAGGATGGCTTTACCTTAGTGAGGGGTTAGACCTGACACTAACTTTTAAGAAATGCAGTTGGTCATAGAACCTTAGGTAGTTCTGTTATGTTTTTTTTGTTCTGAATAACGTTTTCTCCGTATTCAGATATTTTTGTTTCTCTTCTCAATATAGCAAATGGAAAGGTGACAATAGCAGCGTCAGTTCCCTGTGTATCAGCCCAGATGGAAAGATGTTGCTTTCAGCTGGTCGAACAATCAAACTATGGGTTTTGGAGACCAAAGAAGTCTACAGAGTGAGTGGATCAACTTAGTTGTAAGCATAATAGTCATCTGGAGAAAGCATGGAGAAATATAGGCATCTGAACCATAGAATATTGTTTTAAGAATAGAGATTCTTTATTTTCTAGCATACTGAAGAGTAGAATTAATAGATAAAAGTTAGCCTCCAAATCTGGTGTGTTGACATTAAGTATGACATTAAATATGTTATACACGTCTACTTCACATGCATTGGAGAAATGAATAGAACAAGTAAGTGGAATTTGAATTAAAAATCTTTAACTCTTCTACGCAATGATTTTAGTGATTTTGATTTCTAGCTTACATCCAGCATTTGGTCCACTTAAGAGTATGTAACTGTGAAGATGTAGTGAACTTGGGGGTTACTGAACTTTTGGTGCTGTGATGATGCCTTAAAATTGTGGTTTCGACTCACTGAGAGTAAAATGAAGACCTACAATTCCTTGGCTGTGTCTGAGCACCCGATCACCCCTCTAAAAAGGAGCGAATTAGAGTGAATCTTTAACCCAAAAATGGAAGAAAGACAGATTGTGGGGGGTATAGTCATGGGACTTAAGAACATCTCAATTTTCATTATTTTCAGATGGAGTTTTAAGAAACGAGAAGAATATACCAGAAATAACCTTGGTTGTTTAGAATTTGTTACCTTTAGTCTGGAGCTCTGATTTCACGCTTATGATACAAATCTTATGATACATGTAGATTCTTCACTTTTTTTACTGTTTTGTATCCATACTATCCTAAATGTGGTGTGACTTTTTTTTTTTAGCACTTCACAGGACATGCAACGCCGGTTTCATCACTTATGTTCACTACTATCAGACCTCCTAAGGAGAGCCAGTCCTTTGATGGAATTACAGGTCTTTATTTTTTATCTGGAGCAGTACATGACCGGTTACTTAATGTCTGGTATGTAATCTTTTAGATTTGGGGGATAACTTTGTCTTGAAAGACTGTGTCACAGCTTATATGGTTACTCTAAATGATGAATATGAGACTTGCTTTACTGTATTCAAGGTTAGATTTATCTTGTAATGAAGAATTGAGCCTGCGTTAAGCAGATTCGTATCAGAAAAAATTAAGAGTATTGCATAATAGAACAACCTCCATGCTTGTTTAGAGGTGTAGTGGATTGAATATTTTCATGACTGGGCAATTTAAAAGTAAAAATATTTCAGGAAAACCTTTGATTTTGTTTAAATCAATGACTGTTGGGTTAGTACAGCAATGTCTATTTCCTGATGGCTTCCTGAGGACATTAAATTCCTTGGCTGTGTTTTTGAAACTACTTTTAAAAGTAAAACTAACCCTAGCTGGTGTGGCTCAGTGCACTGAGCGCTGGCCTGTGAACAAAGGGTCGCTGGTTCAATTCCTGGTCAGGGCACATGCCTGGGTTGCAGGCCAGGTCCTCAGCTGGCGGCGTGTGAGAGGCAACTAATCCATGTTTCCTTCTCTTTCTCCCTCGCTTCCCCTCTCTAAAAATAAATAAATAAAATATTTAAAAGTAAAAGTTAATTTTGTATTAAAGGGCAATCAAAAAGTTTTAGATTTAAGAAATATAAGAAATTTATTGGATTTTATGACATCTGATGGTGAAGTTAACTTTTTTAAAATCTCTTCATGGGCAAAGTAAGTAGAGATTTAAAAAATAGAAGTAGTTTCTCATCTTAGTAATCAGTTACTTGAGCTTTCTCTTGACTATATAAAGTTACTGTGAATTTATACCAAATAATACTCAGATATAATGGAACTCATTGAAATAACGTATTCCTTAAAGTAGTTGTGTGGGGAAAGGTTCATGGGGTCACTGTTCACCTTAGAACATTTGCTAAGCTGTAGTTCAGAATTGTGTCTCAATCAGATTCCATTCATTTTCTGTCTTGTGTCTGATATTTGAGGAATGACTATCGGGATGATTTCATTTAGTTCAAGAGGGTTTAACACTTACATAAGAAATTCGTAATGCCAAAAATCTAAAATCTGGCACCACAGTTTTCTGACGTTACTGAGGTACTTCAGCGTTAAATGCTTTACCGCTTTGGCTCCCTAGACATAGGGGTTTCTGGCTACAAAATTTCTTCTGTAAAAGAAAAGGTGATTTCTATTGTCTTAAGGGTCCTGATGGCTTCCTAGTAACAGAGGAATAAACTTAAAAGACAAACCCATATTGAAAGACTGTCCAATAAGGCCATTTACGAAAACTTTTGTGTTTTGATAGACGAGGAAGCCTAAGGTTCCCTTATAATTACCATTGAAAGACTCATTTCTGTAAGGAAATAACATTTGAAGGCTCTTTGCTGCTGAGTGAAGATTTTAAAAAACATTTTATATTACTATAAGACAACAATACTGTCTCCTATTGATGGGCTAAGATAGCAGTTTCTTCTGTATATAGTGGTCTGATGGCAGTGATTTTGAATATGTATAGTATGAATGACCAGGTTAGAATGAATGTTGTTATGAACATGTTGTGCATGAAATATTTAGAATTTGTCAAATCAACTCTCAGTTTTTTTCTGGACAGAAATATTAAAAGAATGTCTGGATAGGTTCTTTGATTAAGTGTCTGTTTAAATATTTTGGCCTATTATTAGATTGTTGTCTTATATTGAAGTGTTTTTTTTTTGAGAGAGAGGGAATGAAAGGAGAGAGAGAAAGGGAAACATTGGTCAGTTGCCTCTTGCATGTGCCCTGACTGGGGACCGAACTGCAACCCAGGCATGTGTCCTGACTGGGAATCAAACCCATAACCTTTCAGTTCATAGGATGGTACTCCAGCCAACTGAGCCGGCACACTTTACTCAGTTTTGAGAGTTCTGTGTATATTATTAGTGTAAATCCATTGTCAGGTATATGCTTTGCAAATATTTCTCCAAGTCTGTGACTTACCTTTTTGAAGAGTAGTTTTTAATTTTGATGCAGTTCAGATCATGTTTAGAAATCTTTGCCTAACCCAAGGTCACAAAGGTTTTTCTCCTGGCAGTTTTGTAGTTACATTTGTTTCTCTAGTTACATTTAGCTCTGTGATCTCTCTTGAGTTAATAGGTATATATGGTGTGAGGACTGGATTGATGTTCATGTTTTTGCATTATGGATATCCAGTGGTACCAGTACCACGTGTTGAAAAGACTCATCTCCATTGAGTTGGTTTATATATACATTTATATATACATTTGAGTTGTGTATATATATACATATATACACATACAGTCCTTTCTTGTTATTCACTGTAATTTTATGTTGTATAAGGTTCTTGAGCACTAATTTAGTGATACTGAACTATTTGTATTTAGTGGAATGAACTATTACTCCTTGGGGAAATACAGGTTTACGTTTCTACAAAGCCCCTCTGGTTACAACATTTTTGTCATCTAATCAATATATAACCTTGTTTTGTGTGTCTTTCTGTTTAAAGATACCTTACTTTACACACACATGCAGAGAAACATTGCGCCTTGCTTTATTGCGCTTCACAAATGTTGAGATTGATCACAGCTTGCTGTATTGTAGTACTTGCTTTATTGGGATGGTCTGGAACTGAACACACAATGTCTCTAAAATACGCTTGTATTGGTTGACTCATGTCAGAACAGAGTTTAATACAGACATTTTCTCCATAATACCTATCACAGCTTTTTTGCTCTTAGGGACATTAGACAATACTTCATTATTACACATGTGCCATTATAAACAGTAAAATCACCAAAAAACACAAAAGTAAAAAATAGGCCACAAAAAGAATACTTACAGTATAAGAGTTGAAATGGAAAGGCAGAACATAGCCTTGATTAACCTTGTGAGTGTTGGCCAACTCATTTTTTTCCACTGTCTGTGTGCATACCTGTTAAAGACCATGAAAGCTCAACAAGTACTGATCTTGGGGTTTACAAATAAATTCTGGCAGGTAGGTAAATTCTCAAATAAGGAATCAACAAATAATGAGGATGATTTTTGTGTATGTGTCTGGATTCTTTTTTTTTCCTCAGTGTTGCTGTATTCTCAAATTAACCTATAGATTGAATGCAAACCTAGTCAAGGTCCCAGCAGACTCTTGCATAAATTGACAATCTGATTTTTAAATTCAAATGGAAATGCAAAGGACATAGCCACAGTGAACTTGAAAAAGAAAAATGTTGGAGGGTTCATTGCCCGATTTCAAGACTTGTCAAGCTACAGAAATCAAGACAACGTGATATTGGCAACCATCAACATAGACATAGATAAATGGAAAAGAACAGGATGTTTATCTTTGTATAATCTCCTAGAAATGCATTAATGCTTTCTCTTTTCCTGTGCAATCATGTTATAATGGTAGTGATACAAGTGCTTCCTTATTTTGATCTTTAGTCACCTTATTAGCTTTCAAAAGATGAGAAAAACTATTGGGAACTTAATGCTGTGACTCCTTTTAGGTGTTTGCTTTTTTAATATCTGTTTTACTGTCCAATTATTGGTTTTGTTATCTAGGCAGGTCCGGTCAGAAAACAAAGAAAAAAATGCAGTGATGTCTTTCACAGTTACAGATGAACCTGTCTATATTGACTTGACTTTATCAGAAAACAAAGAAGAGGTAAATGGCTCCGTTTTTGAGAATTTGTTTTTGGATTTCACTACTATTTTTAAAATCAGGGTTTGATGATTTAATGATTCGAGAAAGAGGGGACATGGGGAGGAAGAAGGAAGTAAAGCAAAAGTCTTCTTAGGCTATTTGAAGTGACTGTTAGGTCAGCACGGTCAGCTCTCATGAGGGGAAGGGACAGGGAGCAGTGGCATCTTCAGCAGTGCCGACTGCTCTTGTGTGCAGGGCCCGCCAGCTTCCTGCTGTCAGCCTGTGCACTTGGAAGTGGCTTCTCTCATACAGCTTCCAAGCTGCATTCTCCTTGCCTGTGTTACCTTCTTGGCCTAAAAACTCTTATATATAAGCTTGACAACAACTCGAATTGTTATTTTGAAGACAGTAAGTGTTTTTAAATGCAACAACTGTTCATCCTTACTGTTCTTTTTCTCTGATTATTTAAAGGAGTCGGGAGGAGAGTTGAAGTTTCATAAATATTTTGTAAAAGTATTATCCATTAGATTTACCGATTAATCAGTTATTTATTTTTTTTAGCCTGTCAAGTTAGCTGTTGTTTGCAGAGATGGTCAAGTTCACCTTTTTGAACACATACTAAATGGGTAAGAACTCTTTTAAGTCAGAAATTTATTTTCCTTTCCTGACTTGTCACTTTATACTCTTACCTCAATATTCTTTGAATTACATTTTCAGTTAGATTGTTTTGAAAGCATCCTTAATTCTTTATCCATATGATTATATACATTACCGATGAGAACTTAAGTTTTTGGCTCATGTATTATTCACATTTGAGGTTAGGAGAATAGCTCTTTATGATGCACACTTAGTAAATGTTGGTAGTTCTAGCGATAAATATTCAAAGAAAATGGTTTAGTTGTACAGTTTGGCTTGTGAACTTTTGGTGAAGACTTAATTTCTAACTCAGAGAGTGCTTCCCCTTGCCACACATGTGGGTCGGTGCAGTGTGGTGGTGCTAGTGTTTTTGTGGGCAGAGAGGAGTGTTGCTGGTAGGATGTATAGTAGTCAGATTAAGGGGCCAAACCTGAAAGAGACCATATGTGGCCCCCCAAAACTAAAATATTTACTATCTGCTTCTTCATAGGAAGTTTGCCAACCTTCGCCATATACTATAAACGTGATCTGTGACTCAGTCATGTCCATAATTATGTTAAACTTTAAAATAGTTTCAACTTTTTATTGTCAGTTGATAGATAACCTTTCCTTTTACAGTTTTAATGTAGTAATTTGTTTAAATATAAACTTTGTGGAAACAATATACACTTATTTTCAAGCATTCAGGATGCACAGACAATTAAAAAGCCATCTCCCTCTATTGAGTTCTGCTCTCTAGAGGTAACTGCTAATAACGTGATGCCTTTATTTACATAGTCATGTGTACATGGAACATATAATTGATGGTCCTGAAGTTGGTGGGCTGTGGTGAGGATTTGGGCATTTCTCCTTAGGCAGTAGTAAGCTGTTGATGGATTTTAAGCAGAGGATGCATGAGGTTTGACCTAAGTATTAAGTCATCCCGCCTCATAGAGGGGTGAAGGCCAGAGCAGAGGCCAAAAATCCTGGATAGAGATGGTTTGGGAGTCAGGGTACTAGGATGGATGAATTGGCAAGATAGATAGTGGGGTGCTTACAATTGAGATTATGGAGGCTGTGCCTTTATTAGTGGTAAAATGTCTGCGGTGTGAGCAGTGAGTGGCTGAGATACAGTGAAGGACACAATTGTTGGAGGTATGAGGGTTAAGGAACTAAGAGGACAGGGTATCAGAAGGATCATCGACTTGCATACTAGATATGGAAACCACCAAAAAAGGCATTCCTCAAAGGAGTGTTGAAAAGAATGGCAGTGAGCCACTAACATTTTTTAAGAAATGTGGGGGAGTGACCCAGAGGTCATTGGATGGCAGCAGGAGATGAAGGTGGCTGATACCTGGTGACAACAGTTTCAAAGGTTTTAGAGATGAAGGAGGGAGAGAGACTATTAGTGTCTGAGTATTAAGAGAACAAGAAGCATGTTAAATCATGTCCTAGGCCCCTGCACCAAGGGCGTTGGGGGCAGACAGCTACAGCTTGAGAGGGCCGCCGCAGCGAGCCGTCATGCAGCAAGGCGGAGAGTGCTCTTAGACAGGATGTGGAGGATTTACTTTCGTCAATGATGTTTTGCTGATAATTTCGCTCCTGGAGCTATGTTGCTGAAGCGATGGTGAGCCTTTTAGTGATTGGGAGCTATTAGAGTTGGGACTGATTAGGGCATGTGCAGAGCCGTCCTGAACAGAAGCTCAGGGTGGTGAGAGAGCCCTTGGGCCTTGGGAGTGTGGGGCCTTCTGCGGGGATGGACGAAGTGGGAGAGAAGGGTGGATGGGGTTGAAGGGAGATTCTGGTGGCGAGGTCTTGAGTGTTGGCGGGGGGGTGGGGGGCGGGCCGTGAAGTCCTGATGGGAACGCTAGTGCTCTGGGGTCCCTGATCACCCCTGAAGGTAGTGCAGAGGCCAGAGGAGGGTCACATCTCACGCCAACTTCAGATAATTACTGTGAGGTGTTGTCATTTTAAATATTCTAATTTAATTATTTTTTTTTTAACTTCTAGATACTGCAAAAAGCCTTTGACTTCCAACTGCACAATTCAGATATCAACACCTGGGAAAGGCAAGAAATCAACACCAAAACCCATCCCAATTCTAGCAGCTGGTTTTTGTTCAGACAAAATGTCCTTGTTGCTTGTATATGGCAATTGGTTTCAGCCCATCATTGAGAGAGTGGTACGTAGATGCTACCTTGGAGTAAAGCAGTATCAACATGTCTACGGAAAAGATGATTTTAAAATGATACATTGATATACTTACTGGAATACTTAAAAAGAAGTCACGTATTTTCCCTGAAGAACCCTTCATTGGGTGGTTTATTTTAATTTGTGAGAACTCTATATATACTTAAACCAGCCTCTCTAAAATATGTAAATACTTAGTATAAAACATTATTTGAGATGTGTGATTCCTGCTTCCCCTCTATTAGGTGTACTGAGTACTGTACCTGGTGTGTATTTTTCACTTACATGCACATCTCAGTCTGAACTAGGCATGTTTTAAAGTGCCCAACAGCCCCATGTAGCCGCACATACCTAGTGGCTGCTGTTCCCAGCACAGATACAGGTGAATTTTGCCCAGCTACTCGAAAGGTAAACTTTAATGAAAGAGCCCTTAATGATAGCACCCATTGAATTTTCAAAGTGGAAATTAAATGGGTGGTGCAGTGATTTGGCTTCTTTTGATCACAGAAGTTCAGAGACTTGGTGAGTTATTACCAGCCTGTCCAGTAGGCGATTTCTTAGGCTTGCATTTGTAACATATTGATTCAGTAAGGCCCTCTTCAGAGAGACTTGCCCAAGAAAGCTGCTGTTGAGTTTACTTAAAAATACTTTTTAAATCCCGGTATGGCTCAGTTTGTTGGATCTTCATCCCATATACCCAGAGGTTGGAGTTTCCGGGGGCTCACTTCCCAGTCAGATCATTCACCTAGATTGGAGGTTCGATCCCTGGCCGAGGTTCATATGGGAGGCAACCAATCAATATTTCTCTCAAATCAATAAACATACTAAAATTTTAAAAATATTTTGTAAAAATTTAATGCATGGATTTGGCTTGTCCTTTCCAGATGCAGCCACTGTTTCCTGTTTGTTTTGTGTCCTTCCAGGTAGTGATTGATTACATGGGCATAGGGTATTGCATACAACCTTAAAGCTTTATGAGGACATGTGGACTTGGCTGTACTTGACTTTCCCCAGTTTAACACTGTATGCAGAGCACCGCCTCGGGCGTTTCATTAGTCAGCATTGCTGCCTTTGGCTTGTGCATGGAAAGGGTAGCAGTAGAAAATTTTGGGCAGGGCCGTTCTTTGTTAGCACAGAGTAATTCTTTGCGAGGGTGATGAACTGATGTTTTCTTTGGAGTCTGTCCCATTTAAAAAATCTGGTGATCTTTTAAAGCTATACATGTGAAAAATTTGAACAGTTCATAACTGAAGAAAGTAAACATGCTCATCGTCAGAGTTTTACCCATTTGCTCAGTGCCATAAATCTGAGTGGCTCACATTTTGTGTGGAAGCCTTTCATGCCTTTCTGTATTTTTATGAAAATGTATAAGTAGGCATTTTTATTGCCAGTTGTTTTGACACACTCTCCTCCTTCCCCCCTTTAAAATTATATTTTCAGGCTTTAAATTCCAAAGAATCTCATATGTGTTTAGTAAGAGATATTTCGAACTGCTGGGCTCCAAAGGTAGAAACAGCCATAACAAAGGTGAGTGCATTACATATAGAAGTTGAGAAAAAGATTTGGGTGAATTGAATGGTTATGTAATATGTTTAGATTCTTTTAATATCCTCTTTATCGTCTTAACAAATGTTGTGGGATTATGTTTTAGATATCAGTATTATAAAAGTATTCATTTCTGTGCTGTTGGTTTGTTGAGTGAACAAGGGGATAGGCGACTAGAAGTTGAAGACTTTGGATTTAGTTCTCCTTGTCTCCCATGCATGATCATGGAATAAGCATCAGCATCAAACTTATTAAAGAAATTATTTTTTCAATCTCAGTACTTAAAGGAGCATAGCTTTGTTGAGAGGAATGCTGTATTTCAGGGTGGAACAAGACCTGAAACCATCATGGGGCTGGAATTTAATACCACATATATGAGCATCATCATAATGCTTCATTTTGAATATAATGTGGCATCTGCGTGTAGGTTCATGTTTGGCAGTTTCATGAGGAGAGGAAAGGAAAGCCATGACATGCTGTGATGACATCCACATGGTTTCGCTTCTGGCTGAGTTTCAGAGATGACACCTTTCTCTTGGCTGTCTGAGCATTTCTGGCAAAGATTAATTACTGGCGGTGGTTGTAAGATGCACAGCTTTACTCTTTAACAGTTTCGAGTCAGCATGTTCATGTGTAATCTGTAGATTGTTTTTTTCTGGTTTTTATCCTTAGGTGGTTTTGAATGCCTTTAAAACTGTGGCGTTTCAGATTATAAGTTAAAAACTTGTCAGCATTCATTTAAAATTTGTCTTTACTCCATATCATATTAAGTTAGTTATACTAAGTCTTCTAGTAGAAAAACCTTGTAAAAGCTGTTATTTTTCTCATTGGGGACTGAGGCATAATTTCTTGTCACACCCCTGGTGTTCCTGGTTCACAGGTGAGAACTCCAGTGATGAATTCCGAAGCAAAAGTTCTGGTGCCTGGGATACCTGGCCATCGTGCAGCCATCAAGCCCGTCCCTCCACAAACTAAGGAAGTAGAGAGCAAGAGGAAATTAGGGGAAAATGAGGTAATGGAACTGCCTGGCCATGTTGAGTTTGACATTTTAAGATTGCTTGGGAGTTGAAACGTTAGAAACTTGCCTAGATTGCTGCTGTTACCCTCTCTCATCCCAGCAGCGTAGGCTCTGAAATTCCAGGTTCTGACCTTTGTGAGACACTCAAGGTTAATAAATGGCTTATTTACAAAGCTGCTGTTAATGGAGAAGACAGCACTCTGATTAACTAAAGAAAGTGGTGTTTTGGTCAGTTGCTAGGTTAGCTGGACAACATACCTGAATAGATTAAGCCAGGACGTGCCGTGATGATTTCCATTGGGTTTCGCATGTTGCTGAGCTCCAGTGATGCCTCTTCTCTTGGCTGTCTGAGCACTCCTGGCTGGGGTACTGCCAGTTGGTCTTTAAAAGTGATCGTTTAATATAGCTGCGTAAAGCGCTTACAGGTTTCATTTTTTCCCAACTCCCCAGACTTCCTGCAGTCACCGTTCTTGTCTATGTGGGGTCCTCTTTTTCATCCTCCATTCACATGTGTCACTGCTGTCTAAGGAATCTAGCATTTTAAGCGGTTTATTATCAGAGAAAATTGTAAAGTTTCTTTACCTGATTTTAAATGTGTTTGTTGAATGGTGGGTTGGGATAACATAGCTGTTCATAAAAACTGTTTCTCAATAACATGTTATCTTTATTTAAAAATAGTGTGCTAACTTACTTGAACTTGCAGCTTAGTTCCAACACTTTAATTTCCTCCTGCCTTGTTTACATTTTTCATAAAATTAACAGGAGTTTTTAGCAAAGCATCTCTTTTGGCTTTAGTAGTCCTAGAACATAATATTTTGATTTAGTTAGACTTGGTTTTATAAGGTATCAGTTTTATACAATTAAGTTTTTTATAGCATATCTTACCATGTTTATTTATACTTTATTTTAGATATTTGTTGTAGTATAGCATCTTAAAGAAAATAAATCACCATCCGGAACTGATTGATAAAGAGAAAAATGGGAAGACAGTTTAAAAATTGTTTTTTGGAAATATAACTATCTTTATGTCCTTTTAATAGTACTTGTTTCCTTTTGCAGATCTGAGGTTGATGGCAGAGAATAGTTATGGAAGGAGAAGCTACTGTGAAAATAGGTCTTTTCTTGTGTGTTAGTAATCAGATACCAGATCCTTGCCTTTTTTGAATCTTCATTATGAGTTACATTTTTAAAACATGGCTTCTTGGGCAGTTGTTTTTTCACTAGACTCTGGAAACTTGAATTATAGATATTACACTTGTCTCCAGCATTGGCTTTATGGTAATGAGATTCTCTTGACACACTTAGGTTTTTCAGGGTTGAGGTGTGAACCAGTCAGTGATCTTTGTCTCCTGAGACATAAGGATAACGTAATTTGACCAAACTACTTCAGGCCTTGTGTGGTTTACATTAACAGGTCACCTTTCTCCTGTAGGTTAGCATTGAAGAACGCCTGGGAGCACTGGACATAGAATCAAAAAAAGAAAAAGATAGCCTTCCGCAGACAAATAGCTTTCCAGTTCTTCTCGCGCAGGGTTTAGAAAGTAATGATCTCGAAATGCTAAATGTAAGTATTACAGCAGTTTTTAAATGAATTAAGATGGTTAATTTTTCTTAGGAATGACATAGCACATTCAGAGTGAATAGTCGTGTTTTATAGCCATTTTGAATTTAACATTTTGTAGATTTAGTAAAATATATATCATTTGGTGGCATTATACAGACAGTCACTAACCTACAAAGAGATTGTATTAAATTATTTTGAACCTGGAATGCATTTTCTCATAGAAATACTGTTCAGAATTGTTACTAGGTTCTTAGGCTTTAGTTCACAAAAGCCTTTATAAACATAGTGTACCCGCATTATAATACTCAGCATTCTAGATCACAATTTATATTTTTTTCTGTAGGAAAATGCGTTCCTGAGTTTTTACTCTGGATTCCAGAAACTTATTTCCCCCTGGCCGTGAGAGGGGGCGGTGAGGTGGAACCTTGGCAATGGGTAGGAGGTTTGGGGGGAAATTGAAGAGGGTTGGGGGTTATGTTATGAAGTATTTAGAAGTAGAAGTACTAGAAATTTTGTATAAAGGGAGGCGTTTATGATTGCTGTGTTTGTAAGTTGGTGACTGCTTGTATGAAGTTACTTAATTAAGTCTCCTTAAGTTCCAGAGTTTGACAGTGGTCTGTAGAAAACATTTAAGTGTAAAAAATTGTATTTAAGCACTGCTTGATCAGCTTATAGTAATTTACATGGCTAAGTGCATTTATTCTTAGTGATTCAACGATATTACTGTACCACTTAGTAAAGATGTGACTTTAATATGTAACCTATGCATAGTATTTTTTTAATTTATATTTTGGTCTAAGTGGGAGTATATTATATTTGTCTAAGGTAAAAGTTTTCCCTCATTTGTAAAATGAGATGGGAAACCAGCATGTCTAAAAAGTTGAAATTACTTTTAAAATAGTTGATGGTTATACAGGATCCAGCACAAACAGCACCCCTTTTTTATTACAAAATCTTTTTTTTATTTACATTTTTTTAGAGAGAGAGGAGTGGGGAGGGAGAAAGAAAGGGAGAGAAACATCAGTGTGTGAGATACATGGTGGCCTCTCACACGCCACCAACTGGAGACCTGGCCCACAACCCAGGCACGTGCCCTGACCAGGAATTGAACTGGTGACCTTTTGGTTTACAGGCCAGGGCTCAGTCCACTAAGCCACACCAGTCAGGGCCACGCAGTACATTTTAAATGTGCACTGTTTATTTCTCATCAGTTGTAATGCAGTAAAGCTGTAAAAGAAGAAACCCATTGTCGATATTCTTGGTAGTTGTGGCTGTGGTTTATAGAGTTGTTTTTTTAAATACATTCTCAGCAGAAATTAATGCTGACTCCTGTATCCATTTTATAGTTATGCGTGGTTTGGGATAACTTGTTTTTTTTGTTGTTGTTGTTTTAAGATTGTTAAATTGAATTTATTGGGGTGACAGTTCATAAAACCATATAGATTTCAAGTGTACAAATCTAACACATCATCTGCAAACCACATTGTGCTTGCTTACTTTAAATTTGAAAATGTGTCATATCATAGAACCTCTGTCTTTAGCGAGTATAAGAATTATCTGAGAGTTTGTTAAAAATTCTTCTGCCCGCAGTTTGGAATAATTCAGAGTTAGGCCACAGGTAATACTATGTTTGCCTGTGGCAGTTGTTGTCTCCACCTCTTACCTTGGTGTAATTATTCATAATAACTCCTTTCATTCTCAGAAGTGTCCCTGGGACAATAGGTTATATGATCACTTTACATTTAGAGCACTAGAGGGTTTCACAAACTTATTTTTCAAACCTTCATTCCCGAACTGTTTTTTAACCAAGCTTTTGGTATAATGTGCGGCAACATGTTCAGGAGTGTCGTGTTTGACCCGAAGTGCTGCTACCCTAGTTGGTCACTTAAGACAATGAAGCCTGGTGGTTTGATGAACATCCAATGAAAATTGAGGACCTTAACAAAAACATGCTGTATCTTAAAAAATAATTTGTAGACCATTCAGATGCACCATTCCCTGTAACTTGTACATTTTTAGAATTCTGTGATAACTGTTTATAATAAAGAGGAATATCTAATGTCATTAAGCACCTTCTGAATTATTGCTGAAGTTCTTATCAACATACTCTGCTTTGAGTCTGGTATTCTGATTATTTGAAAATGAAAATATTGGGTTAAGTGGGACAGTTAAATTAGGGCAGTCCATCTCTCAGTTCCCCAGTGACTACATAAAATGTTTTATTTCTTTTGCATATGGAACAGTGTAATTATGCCCCTGATAGGTTTTAAATAGTACTTGATAGGCTTAATATAAAGATATTACAAGCAAATAAAACCCATAGGGAAGTCCGAAATGATAATGTTCTGTATCTTGTCCTTTGGTACTTGTGCTGTTTAGTTCCTGAGCGTGACATTTATAGCAACAACTACCACAAACAGCATGCACCAGCCACCAGGGAAGTTCCTCTAGGAGCAAACTGTTTTGAAAAAATAAGTATTTAAAAGTATTCAAGAGGTAGGGGAAGTCAAGATTGTGAGAGCTGAGAGGGCTCTTATTTCTCACCCCGTCTTAGAGATGGGGCATCTGGGGTTTGGAGAACTTGAAAGGCCTACCAGGATTAGGACTAACCTGTTTCCTTTTCTCTACCCTGGGGGGGAAGACTGGGTTTCTCTCATTGATATCCCTTAAAGCACTCATTATACAATCTTTTCATTGTGAAGAAGTTGACATTTAATTTTTAAATGGTGTTGCTTTTCATGTGTGATTTTAGTATGTTTTGCTTACTCCTCTGTGGATACATCTCTAATTTCATAAAATAAAGGTTGGAGAATTTTTCCAAAGTTCCCAAAGTTTTTCATCTGCATTTAGATGTTCAGAGGTGTTCTTTTCTGTTTCATATAAAAAAAAAAAAATTAAGTTCCTGAAAGTTTAGAATTTGTAGTGAAGAAACCTATTTATTTTTTAAGATTATATTTTACTGTTTGTGGTGTTACAGTTGTCCCAGGTGTCCTCGCGTTGTCCCCCTCCACCCAGCCGCCCTCCCACGCCCTCAGGCAGTCCGCACACAGCTGAACATGTCCGTGGGTCCTGCATATTTGTTCTTTGGCTACTGTATTCCCTGTGCTGTACTTTGCATCCCAGTGACTATTCTGTAATTACCAGTTTGTACTGAAGAAATCTGTTAATTGAAGTTAATGTGTTTATAGGTAAAGGCTGTACTTTTCTGGTAGCCATAAAATATAAAATTCTTCATTCAGTTTCTCCAGCCTTTATTTGCTAAAAATAAGTTGGTACTTCATTGTTTAGCTTTAAAAATTATTTTACTGACAGTTTTCTTTTTTTCTATAGTGTTCTTAGCTTCTGAGTATGCTTATACTTGTTTTATTTTCTCGCAGAAAGTGCTTCAAACTAGGAATTCAAACCTAATAAGGAGGACTGTGTTAAGGATGCCCCTGCATGCTGTTATTCCATTGTTGCAAGAGGTAACTGAGCACTCTGTTCATTTTAAGGTTCTGTTGCTTGGAGTTTAAGACTAGATCCAGTATTGAGAGAAATGGATTTGCAGGATGTAAGCAAGCTGGATATTCACAGTGGATGATAGGTACTAGATCTACTCAAACAATATTTGCTTAACCTAGGTTTTTCCTATGTATTTTTTATTAAACTATAACTTAAAACCATAACTTCACCCTTTAAAAATGGATGTTTCAATATTTTTGGGGGTATTCACAGGTTTTACAGTTGTCACACCCAAAAGAAATTATGTACTTGTTGGTCACTCCCGATTCCCCCTTAGCCCTAGTTTCTGGCATCCTCAAACCTATTCTCTGTCCCTGTGGATTTGCCCGTTCTGGACAGTCATTTGTATAAATCCTAGCCTGGATTTTATTAGATAATTATGCTTATTGTGGGAATACATTTCCAGATTCTGTTATATTGGTTGAAGATGGAGGCATTAGGAAATTTAGGAATAATGATTTCCTAATACGGTCATGATGTTCCTTTGTTTTTGTGGGTGTGTGTGTATTACCAGAATTGGTGGAGAGGGGCTATCACCCAAGTGCTGTTGCTGATACTGTTTGTTCTCCCCTAGCTTACGAAGAGATTGCAAGGACATCCTAATAGGTAAGATGTTTATGTGACTTAAATTGCTTTCCTTTTGTAAATATTTCAGAGGTGATTGTTAAAAAGAGCAACGTCTGATGGTATGAAATGACATAATAGGTAGCCCCAAATTCTGACTAAAAAAGTCTCTTTAAGTGTCAAATATTGCTCTCCCCACATTTTAAGTTGATTCTTTATTCTTACAATCTTACTTTTTTTCTTTTAGAAAATTCCTATGTAGGGTGTTTAGTTTTATTATCAGCTCATTTAATGAATTAGTCTTATGCAATGATTTGCTGTAAAATTGCCATTTGTAGAACTTGCCATACCTCTGGTAGCTGCTAAGACGGCATAAGGCGATATGTTACAAAAGACTAAATTTTGTGGGTCGTCTTTGTTAATAATCTGATGATTAAATATTTAAATAGGAAGTTGATATTTCAGAGATCCTGAGCTTTAGCATAGTACTATCAGTGTCCACAATATGCAGTTTTTCTTTCTAAGTTACTTTCTGATAGGTTCCAAAAAGAAAACCTAAAGAATTTATTAACTAGGCTCAGCTCACACATTTTGGTCTATAGTTGTCTTTTAATGTTGGTGCAGGAATCTTGCTGTCTATACCTGATAATGAGTAGAGGACGGGCTCAAGAATCATGAACATAAAAATGCAAAGTCGGCAGAGCCCAGGTTAGGGCCCTGGTAGCAATTAATTATGAAGTAAAGCTTGAGTTTTGTTCTTCACCCATTGTCGAGGAAGGGACTTTTGTCCTGTTTCCCAGTCCTTCTCATTTTCCCCTCCCTCCCCAGGAAGTTAGCGTATTACACAAATCTGAAATTCTCAGTGAAAGAGTGTACAGACTGTCAGATTCGCAGTGGTTTCTTTACTGTAATCATTTTCCCAGAGCACAGTTTGTAGATCTTCACTTTGCCTGAGCATTCCTAATTTTATAACTCAGTTGTGTTTAATTTTGAATTAGTGTACATTAGTTCACTTGGATTTTTTTCACTTTTTTCCAGTGCTGTTTTAATGGTTCAGTGGCTAAAATGTGTGTTAACAGTCCATGCATCATACCTGTCCACAGTAAGTCTTTTCAGCTACAGTTGCTAAACTCCTCGGGTTTGATAAAGATCATAAACTGACGGCTAGGCAAAAAGCGCCCTCTTCTCCATCTGTCCTTCAGCCCCCAGCCACTGCTCCTAGAGAATTTTGGTTTTCCCCAGGTGCAGTGGCATAATGTTGCCATTGTTGTCTTTTATAAATTGGTCTTTTTGTCTCCTGAATTTAAAAATGACATGTTTATAGAGAAGTTGAAGGGAGATAAATATTGACATTAGCTTTCAGATGTTTTTCTATATCCATAGGCTGTTCAGAAAATTATATTGTATGGGTCTTTCCATTTCCCCCTTAAAAACTTAGCAGATTTTAGAAGTTTTGTATATATGATAACATGTTGCCCTGCCTTGTCCCAGGACAATAAGAGGCAGCTTGTTATTACAGTGACATAAGTGAAGCCTTCAGCCTGTGGCCTTTTGCTGCGTCTGCTCGCGGCTCTTGGTTGTCTGTGCAGATGGAAGGGAGGGAGCATAACATCTTACAGCAGCACAAGGCAACGATGATGTAGGTCAGAGTACGAGTTGGGTTCTCCCCATGCTGTTAATGAGTCAGTTGTATTTTAAGGTAGGAAAAAATGTTCTTTTCTTGGATTATTTGTCACTTTACAATAGGTTTGTTTAAAGGGTATAGTGGATAGTTTAAGTACATTTTTAGTTGCTCTTTAAGCTGTAGCACTTCCTTTCTTATTGCAGTTCTGCCCAACCCCTGCCTGGCCACTGCCGTTGTTCTGTCTCGGGCCCCTTCTGCCCTCAGTAGTTTGAAATAGGGAAAAAACGACTGGGTAAGCTGCTTTGCAGTCAGCAGTTTGCTCTTTGTGTGTTCATGGAGATTCTGCTTAAAATGTTAGAACAGGAAGGAGATAAGAAATAGTTAAAATGGATATTGAGCTTCCCTGCTGGCAGGAGTCTTGGGGTGAGTAGAGTGGCCGAGTAGCATGGGCTGCAGAGATCATGGGAAGCATCAGGTCTTGGGAGTCTGGCTGGTAAACAGACAACACTCATTTTGGGATCTAAATTACCTGCTTAGAAGTGAAAAGAGCTCTAGGAGGCCTTACGGTAGAATTCCTCCTGGAATCGCCTCCTAAAGTGTAACTACTGAAATAGTAGTTGTGTAACATTCCAAAAACAGAGGAACATGTTTGGTCTCGGGAGGGCTGACAGCCCATAACAGTTCTCTCCTCAGCAAACAGTGCTGTTCTCCTACCTTTCCTTTATTTCAGAGTTGGATCTTTAAGAGGCTTTCCTAAGCCTAGGACGATCTAGGCACGGGTGCTTTGGTAGTGTCAACAAGGCACTCTGATCCTCATTTCCCTGGAGCTTATAGTCCGAATAGGGACATATAAAAAGGAGGCGATGGTAATTGAAATGCAATCACATTAACTTAATTTTTATTTTTGTATATATTTGCTGTTAAAGGTTTAAACATTTTAATGAAATAACGTTTATTTATACTGAAGTGTCATACAGGAGGACAAGTAAGGCTAATTAAGAGCAAGGAGAGTGGGGTCTGTTTTTCTGTAGCTCTGAAGAGACAGAATTAACTGCATTTCTTAAGCAGCATTCAGAGGGTTGATTACAATGTGTTTGAAGTACTGTAAGGCCAGCTTTGTACTCTGTCACTCTGTCCTGGTGGTCTCTGGAAGTTGTGAGAAGCTTCCTCCAGCTTGCTGGGGCCTAGTGGATGCGGTAGATATGGGGTACTCTCAGGGAGTACGTTCCAGAGGGGACCCCCTGTAGCCCTGAGATACATGGTGGGAGTATTGTTTTATTTAGTGTCTCCTCACATTGACCATCTCTGAAATAGTGTGGTGAGTACAAAGAGGTCTCGCCCTTCACTTGGTCCTGCCTTGATATTTCTCCTTCCAGTCTTGTATTATTATTTTTTAAACTGTGTTACATTTTGCCTGTAGGATATTGAAAGCCTCTGAAGGTTTGAGATCTTGCTAGGCTGTTGTCACAAGCAGCCCCTGCAGCCGGTGGCTTGTGGCGCAGCAGCTCAGTACCCAGGCATATCAGCATGATCTGTGTATTTATTATCTGCATTATGTCATAACAGTATCAAACAATATTTTTTTCTTTAGTTGCCTGACCTGGTACCTCAGCTGGGGACACTATACCAGTTAATGGAGAGCAGAGTAAAAACTTTTCAGAAACTCTCCCACCTTCATGGAAAGCTTATCCTTCTAGTTACACAAGTGAGTAAATTAAACATTTCACTGTGCTAAAACTTCTGGATGTGAGAGGAATGGGGAGGGAGGCATAAGGATCATTTACCTGAACATTGAAAGCTCCCTGTCTCAGTAAGAAATCGGTAAATCAGGAGCCAGCCTATAACTTGGAAATGATATGTTATTTGACAGTGAGTAAACTCAGTTGTGCCTATTTCAGCATGTCCTCAAAGGTTCTCATATTTCAGTTGTTAATAGTTAAAATGATTGTGGTACTATAAACAAAAAATTATAGGGTAGTTATATAGTTAAAATTTTGGCACAGGAAGAAATTTTGATCACCTTTTTAAAAGGTTTTCAACTTCTGCAGAGTACTTCTCTCCCTGTTGTACTTGAGTTTTGTTTCTGCCTTTTATTTGATCTACATTGGATTGAGTTCATCTGTTACGATGGTTGAGGGTGAATTTACTGTTGGAGGATGTTGGGTCATGATACTTGAGGTAAACTTATACTCTATGACACAATTGTACTTTACTATCTTTCAGGTTACAGCTTCAGAAAAAACAAAAGGAATGCCTTGTCCTGAACAGAAGGCAAAATTGGTGTATGAAGAAGGTACAGCTTGGGGGTGTAGGGCAGATTGTTTTTCACATTGACTCAATTCTCTTACCTTACATTGTAAAACTATCAATGTGAGTAAGATCATGGTTTGGCACACCTTCTGTAATAAAATGAGCAAGCCTGTGGCAAAAAAGGGCAAAAATATGATTGGGTAAGAAAAGGCACAAATAGGATAACAGTAACAAAAAAGGGCACTAGGTGTGGAAGAGATTTAAGTAGAAGAATACTGAACGAACCTTATGCCAACACATTGAACAGCCTGATGGTGCAGGTAATTTGTTAGGAGACATCAATGGCTAAAACTGACTTACTAGAAACCTTGAAGAAGACACCAGCTTTAAAATTGATGTAATGAAAATTTTCTTCCACAAGATACCAGTTGCGGAGGATTTATGTGTGAATTTTATCAATCTTTCAAGGAATAAGTTGTTTTTGCTGTATACAAGTTAGGCATTTTGTGGCTCCAAATCAGACAAAGATAGTGAAGAAAGTAACATTCTAGATCATCTTTAAATATCCTAAGTAGCAAATTGATTATAGAAGTGCTTAAGAAATTAAGTCATTACCAAGTAGAATTTATTTAAAGATTGTAAGATGATTTAGCATCAAGAAATCTAACGTAGTCACCATATTACTAGATTAACACGGAACAGTATGTATTTTAACAGAAGAAATTTAGTAAAATCAAATGCATCTCATTATTTGATAATGTAAGCAACCTAGGAATTTGAGAGAATTTCCTTATCTATATCAAAAGTTTAGAAGCATTTTCAGAAAGTCAGGAATAAGACAATGAATGTACCTTTTATTGCTTCTGGAAGTCCTGTCGAGTATTATCTGAAAGGAGTAAATTCTAGAACACTGAACTTTGCAGTTACTATCCTTCTCCACATAGAAAATACAGCAGAATCTACGGATACACTGCTATTAATGAGATATGTAAACAATGAAGCTTACTGGATACCAAGATCGGCAAAAATGGAATCTGTAGCATTATTATATCCCAATAATGTGTTTACTAATGTATGTCCCAGTCAGAAGATGTATTAGGTAAAAAAAGATCTCATTCATAGCAATCAAAAAATTATGAAGAACCTAGAAATACATCTAAAAGGTGAAACAAAACCATTGTGAATTATAAAACAACTGAAGGACATGAGAGCATCCCGTGCTGTACACATGCAGGGTTTGGGTATAATAGAAGTTTGTACCTTTTGACCTTCATCCACTTCATTCTCCACCTCTGGCAACTGCTAGTCTGTTCTCTGTATCTCTAAGTTTGGTTATTTTAGATTTCACATGTGAGATCTTCCAGTATCTATCTATCTCAGTTAGCATAGCATCCTCGTGGTTCATCCACGTTGTCACAAATGGCAGGATTTCAGTTCTCTTTCTTCTTTTATTATTCCATTGTGTGCACGCAACATTTTCTGATTCATTTGTTGTGAACACTTAGGTTGTTCCCATACCTTGGCTCTCATAAATAATGCTGCCACGACCATGGGGTGTAGGCTCTGGTTTTGTTTCCTTGCACACTCAGAGGAGGAGTTGCTGTGTCGTATGGTAGTTCATTTTTAATTTCTCCAGGAACTTCCATGCTGTTTTTTCCCACAGGTTTCTCCATATCCTTGACTTTATTTTGTTATTTTTTATTTTGTTAGTTTTTAGAAGATTTTACTTATTTTTAGAGAGAGAAAGAAGGGAGAAAGATAGGGAGAGAAACACCAATTGGTTACCTCTCATATACACCCCATCCAGGGACCAAACCCACCGCCCAGGCCAGTGCCCTGACCAGAAGTGAACCAGCGACCTTGCATTTTGTGGGACGACACCCAGCAAACTAAGCTACACCAGTCAGGGCTCCACTTTGTTCTTTAAGATGAGATTTTGTTAGGGTTTTGGTACTTTGTCTTGCTTAGTGAAATCTTTGTGGAATATGTGTTTTTATGCAGATAAAAATATTAATGTTACTTCTTAGATGGATCATATTGAACATAGTATTTCTGAAAGTAAATTCAGGTATTTGATTCTGTTTAATTTCCAGGGCTTTGCCCTCTGCTTTGATCACAAAATTAAGGCTGAATTTTTTCCCCTCCTTACAGAATCTTCTGAAGAGGAGTCTGATGATGAGATAGATAAAGATTCTGATGTGAGTAATTTGTTTGCTGGTACATGAATCTTCCATAACCTTGTACTCTGTAAGAACAAGGCCTTCACAAATGCTTACCTTGCTTAATATTTCTACCAGGATAATTGGGATGAAGATGAGGAAGAGAAAGAAAGTGAAAAGGATGAGGATGTTGATGAAGAGAATGAAGAGGAAGATGAGGATTCAGAAGAAAAAGATGAAGAAAATGGTGAGGACAGAGATGTGGCAAGTGAAAAGGAATTAAATGGAGATTCTGATTTAGATCCTGAAAATGAAAGTGAAGAAGAGTGAAGACAGAAGAACAAGCCAATGGAACTGTATAAACTCTGGCTCACCTTACCCAGTGCTGCCGAGTTCTCCTGGGGAGGGTTGTCTCTGTGACGGATGCCGAGGACCGTTGCACATTTCCAAATTCCCACTGGTGGCTCCCCTGCCACCGTGCTGTCCCGAGCAAGACTTAACTGTGTAAATAAGAGCGTGTTTCATTCAAATGTTAATAAACTTTACACAGTAAATAGACACATTTTCTGCAATGTACCGACATGAGTGTCCAATATATGGTATATTTTTATAATATAATATCCTAGTATGACTTGGTTATACCAAGAATTGACATCAGTGAAGGTAAAGACATTTCCCAGGTAGGGGGCTCAAGAACTGGACTTTTGTGAAGAGGTCAGCTGTTATCTCAGGTTGGTATCTTTCATCAAATCCAGATATGAAGCAGCACTAGTGAAAGAGATTTTTAATTTGGTACATTTTCATAAACTACGAAGGGGGAAAAAAAGAGTAAAATGATTGTGATTAAAAAATGAAATCACCAGTGTCCCTAGCTGCTCTATTAACTGTGGTGATCTGATCAGAGTCAGATTGGATATTTGGAGTGCTTCCCTAAGACAACCACTTATTTTTTAAGCTGTCATGTGAAATATTTTTTAAAAATACAAAAATTATGGTAATTAAAAACTAAAGAGTTAGCCCTATTAAGAATTTTTCTTGACTGCAAGTTACCTGTAAAGAATCATTAGTGTCTAGATTTAGAATTGCTCATTACCTGCAACTTAAAAAATTTCTGTTACAGCTGCTTTTGAAGATATTTTCATTTTTATTTAAATTACTAATGGATCAAAGGACAATTGTTTATTTTTTTCTCTTTGGTTTTAGATATTAATGATAACATTGTTGGAGTTTTTTTCCAAAGAAAATATTTTTATAATTCAGTAATTTAATGTTTTCCTTCCTTTTCATTACCCACTCTTGGCAGTGTTAGGGTATCTGTTTACCTTTAAAATAAATCTGACTCAAGATTTTTTATGTATGTATCAATAAGTATTTTGGTGTGTTACAAAAGCTTTTTCAAATTATCAGAAATTTTTTTTTTTTTTTTTTTTAAAGAACAAGCCAGTATTTGTTTAGTGCTCTCTAGGGAATGCGGATGGACACTCAGCTCTTAAGGAAGGGCTGGGGAGATGGTGTTCTTTTTCCCACCTGTGAATTTGTAAAACCCAAACCGTGATCTCCAAGGGGCTTCTTAACCATCAGTGGCAGAACAGAGAATGTTCAACTAATAGGGCTGGAGCTATACAGGCATCTTGGGAAAGTACGTTTGAGCCAGCTACTGTTAAAATGTACAGTTATATTTGTCTATAAATGGAGCTGTTTATGGGAATTTAATACCATTCTCTTTGTAAAGTGAATAAATATTCATCTTTACCCATTGCTTGTCTTGTGGTGTATGGAGAGAAACGGCCACGTGTTTGGGCTTGTGGTGTGAAGGTTAGATATATAAAAGCACTCTTACTCCACTAGCAATAACAGGTAAATGCTTTCAGTGCTTGTTGGAGATCCTACAATTTGTAATGAAGTGAAAACCAAGAACTTTGTTGTAACTCAGCGGTGGTGCCTTGACACAGCCCTGCTTGTTGTCCGGGCCGCTCTACCACCGCCCAGGGCCCCATACCTTGGCTTTACCGGGGTGTCCTTACCGGGATGCACTTGCTCCTGTAGTTCCTGCTTGGTGGTTTGTGAGTCACTTCCCCGCACCTGACAGCCTGAAGAAGTGAAGGACTGTAACTGCGGTGATTGCTGCCAATTGTGTGTTGGTTTAGATGAGTCCAGAATTGAGTTAGGTTTGTTAAAAGATTTCGCACTGTTCCACTCCTAATCTGGACAACACAGTTGTATGTATGGTGGTGTCTTTTGTGAGATTAATATTTCCAACTTTTGATTTTGAAAAACTAACCTTTCACGATCAAAGGATCACACACAGTATTTGGTTGCCACATCGCTCCGTTAATCCAGAATACTCCCCTGTGGTGCGTGCGTGGTTCATGATTGGGATATTTAAATGAGTCGACATAAATTAAGCTGTGTTGAAGAATGTCTTAGAGTCTGTCTGATTGTTTCCTTATTAGAGTCTGGTTTAAATGTTTTTGGCGAGAATACTAAATAGGTGGTTGTATTTAAGGTTAATTTGTAAAAGTAAATTCTTTGTGTGTGAGTATGTTTGATGTAGGAGATGTTGAGACTTTAGGCTTGGGATGTTTGAAGCCATAATGCAGAGAGATGTTTAAGCCTCAGGATGGGATCTTGACAGACCATTGAGAACATTGATGTGGCATGTAAGGCTGTTAAAATCACTGTGGAGGTTAATTCTCAACATTATACTTTCATTTATGTAACAAATACTGCCTACTCAGCCAGGGGCTATTTAGTTGCTTGGTATATACATCACTGAATACCAGCCAAAGAAGATACCTGCCTCCGGGAACTGATACTCCACTGGAGAGACATAGGCAATAAACAATATGATGAGTAAGTAAATTAAATATACAGTGTTGGAAGGTGGTGACTGTTACAGGGGACAGCGTGTAGCAAGGAAATTGGGATTTGGAGTGGAGGCTGCAGAACTGTAGACACATAGTCAGGACGGGGCTTACTGAGAAGACAAGATCCGAGCAGATGAGGAGGTGAGGAAGCTGGCTCAGAGGGTACCTGGGGGGGAGTGCTCTGAGCCAAGGTTGTGTGGCCAGCACGCCTGCTGTATTGGAACAGAGGAGACGCATGTGGCGGGGAGAAGGGGAGATATGATGGTGACTTCGACCAGGGTGGTTGTAGCAATCTGGGAACCGATTTTTGAGATTGTTTTGAATTCAGAGCTAGTGGGATTTCCTGTGAGATGTGAGAAAAAGGAAAGAGTCAGGTGTGTGACTCCCAGGTTTTTTGCTGGAGGACCTGCGTACTGCTGCGGGTGCTGCGGGTGGAGCGGGTTTGGGACGGGAGATAGGGAATTGGGCATGACGTGTAGAGTTGTATCTGTTACGAATGCAGACACGTGCCCAGTCAACTTTTGGGGGAGAGTTCGGGATGGAGGTAGAGATCCGTTATTGCTGCGAATGGCAGTAAACACTGGACTGGGCGAGCTTCCCAGGGGACTGAGTGTACGTGGGAACAGCACCCAGCTCCGGAGCTCCAGCGTTGGTGTGAGGGGAGAGAAACCCCGAGAGACAGGAGAGGTGGGAGGCAATGAATCTGAATTCGTGACAGCCCTCAGCCGGAGTGTCCTTCGGCTGTAATTGATATAAACCCTCCCAGTAATGCCGTGATACGATGTTTGCCCTTCATATGATTGATTGTTAGAAGGCCATCACACATAAAATTTTTCTTCTTAGTGTAGTGTTGTTCACCGTTGTGGCACCTCAACACGGTCCCTCTTGCGTTCCTGTTTCTGGTTTACAAAACTGGCAGCAAGAGAGGCCCCGCAGTGTGAATGGGTTAGCAGGCGTTACTCAAATAGGAAGCGGGAGGAAAGCGGGGCGGAGGGTGCTCGCCCTTCTGGGCAGGGCTGGCCGACTGGGGTGGGAAAACATGCCTCCTCGGTACTACAGTGCATTTTCACACGTGTAATTTTTAATATGCAAACAGTTCTGAGAAGAACAGGGTGAGATGGGGAATATCGAATGAGAAATCCAAGAGTTGAAAATCACTACTTTAAAAAGCTCGGCCTATCCTTTCTAGGTAATAATGGCTCACTCGGGGCGGACATACACTTTCTGGATACTAACGTTATAAAGGATTTCCTAAAGGAAATAGGGGTGGAAACAATTTGTTGTCGACTTGCCCTTGGCCCTGTTGTAGTTGAAGTTTTTCTAGTTTGAAAGAAGAGAAGGGGTGTGGTTGGTTGCCTGGTGAAGGCAGTCACTGAAGTCAAGAGACAGCTTGGCAGCTGTCTTAGCTGGCCCTGTGTGGTCACGACGTTTCAAAACGGCTGCAGCTTCACAGGTTCAGAAATTTAATTTTGTCCTTGTCTCTGGAGTGGATGCAATTTTCATATAGTGGAATCATTAACCAGGCTGCTGGGAGAAATTGGTATTTAAATGGTATATTTATTTTTAATGGGAAATACGCCCCTCAGGTGGATCAGTGTTCATATTGGGTGGTGACAGGTCTTTCTGCTCAAGAAAATGACCCAGTAAGCCAATTTTATAATTGGAAGATTGCCTTTGAACCGGAGTGTGAAATTGGAATAAGAAATGAATTGGCTGGTCTTCGTAGCTAAGGACAGTGTACAGAGCAATCTGTCCTTTCACTTTGCACCGACCCTTCTTTTAACAGGACTGTTACAGTGGTTGGGATGTTGGTGTTTGGAGTCTACTCAGGCACCCACAGGACTGCCGGTGAGGGCGCGGCCTGATAGTTTAGGGGGCGGCTTGTCGCGGGGACCACCACCACAAGACGGCTGCACCTATGAAACTTGCTATTTTCAACCAAACTTTGATACTGTTAATTTTCAACCTAATGAAGTCTGTCCCCACTTTTTTTTTTAATTGTGGTAAATTGTACATAAACTGTACCCTTGTAGCCGTTTTTTTAAGTGTACAGTTCTGAGGCAGTAAGTGCATTTACATGCTTGTGCAGCCGGGAAGGGGCTCTGAATTGGTGATTTTTGTGGCAGGATCTGGTCCAGAAAGTGAGGGAGGGTGAACATGAATATAGTCAGTCTTGCAGAGACCGAATTTTGGGTAAGAAGCTCCAATTCTGGGTCCACGCTGCAGCATGGCAGTGGTACAGATACTTGATTTCTCCTCCTCCTCCTCCTCCTCCTCCTCCTCTTGTCTGTGACAGGAGAATAATAGTAACGCTGTCTGCCACAAGGATGCTGGGAGAATCAAATGGGACAATGTCTGTGGGATCCTGGGTAGCCAAACTGCAGCACCTGGCAAAGGGTTGTTTATAGAACCATTAATTGCTAGACATTTTTTCCAATATGGGAAGGGAGGATGGTGCACAAATTCTAAGGGGGAACTAACTCCCTCTTGTCTCTGATGCTTTTAAGAAATTGAAATAGTCTTGCAGGTAAATAGTCTTTTTCCACAGGAGAAAAATTAAATTTTTCTCCTTTTCTTTAATGTATTTTTAAAAGATTGTTTTAAAAGAAAAGAAATTCTTTGAGTAAATTTAGGAAAATACCAGAAAGCAGAAAGAAGGAACATAAGCCCTGGCTGGTGTGGCTCAGTGGACTGAGTGCTGGCCTGCGAACCAAAGGGTTACCGGTTTGATTCCCAGTCAGCACAGGTCTGGGTTGCAGGCCAGGTCCCCAGTGGGGGACGTGCAAGAGGCAGCCACACACATTGATGTCTCCCTCTCTTTCTCCCTCCTTTCCCCTCCCCCACTCTTTAAAAGTAAATAAAATCTTCAAAAAAAAAAAGGAACAAAATCATGTTAACAAAGATAACCCTTTGTAATGTTTTGGTGCGTCTCCTTTTAATCTTTTTCTCTTTGCATGAGTGCACACACATTTTTCTTACAAAGTTGGAATCATGTTTTATCCTTTGTCACCTAATACATAGTTAATTATCCTTTGAAATAATAATGCTTGTGGCTATTAGTATTCTACCCGTGTTGCACTTAAACTAAACATTCTCCTATTTGTTGTAAGTAATGTTACAGTGAACATTCTTACACTTTGTATTTTTCTTTACACGTGTCCTTATGAGATATTCCTGGGAGTAATGCTACTTAATAAAAAAACAAGATTATCATCTCATACTTAAGAAATTTGCCAAAACTCTTTTCCAGATTTTAAGCCCCACAAGCAGTGCTTGTGTTTCCATTTCATCTTGAGTCCCAGTTCCTTTTTCTCTTTGCCGCTGTATTTCTTCCGAGTGTTGCAGGCTCAGGTCCTTGCCTGTGCTTAAAGGGATTGCTTTATTAACCTGTAAAAGCTTTTTGTATATCAAAGATACTCACTTTTGCCACACATAGGCTGCAAATATTTTCCCCAATTTGCCTTTTCATTTTTTCATGGTACTATTTTTCTTTATAGTTTTCTTGTTTTTAAGCTTCAAAAACTTCCCCCTTGGAAGATACTCCTTGTATTTTGTTCTAG